ATTATGATATAAATATACAAAAACTAAAGAATAATTATATTATTCACATTGAAAAGAGCGAAATTCGTTGATTAAAGAACCAAGAAAGAGAAACAACAATCAAGGTTCCCCGTTCAAAATTCCTAAAGAATGTTAGTTGATTGATTGAATGGGTAGATTGGTTGGTTGAATCTACGGCTGAATGATTGATTAATTGATTGATTGGTTGGCTAGTTGGTTAATATGTTTATTTAAATGATTATTCATTAATATTATTGATTATTCATGATTATAATATTGACAACGTGAAAAATCTCACTGCCATCATCACCATCGTTGCAATATTCGGCCACAAGACATCTGAAACTTGGGTTCGGACTTAAGCCTTCTTTCTCTAGTACTTAATTAACATAATTTATTCATTCATTCATCACTCTATTATAATAATTTATTTATTCTTTCATCACTCTATTATAATAATTTATTTATTCTTTCATCACTCTATTATAATAATTTATTTATTCATTCATCATTTTATGGTGTAATGGTTAACGAGCCATGTAGTGCTGTGGTGTGGGTTCTAGTAGATATTTATAACATGTACCGTGTGTTTGTAGTTGATACTTCTGAAAAATATCGAAGAGAGAATTTGTAAAAACAAAAAAGCGAATAAAATAAATAATTAATTGTAAAGATACGTTAAAGGGTTTTAAAAACAATGGCAGACAAATTTGCCAGAAAAGTTGACGACAAATTAATATTTATAATAGGAACTCTTCATAGAAGGGTCACTTTATTTGGGTCACAAATTTTCTCTACCCCTTTCACCTCTCTCAAAGCGTGACCTTCTTTGTGGAGAGCCCCCACATTGTAAGAATTGGTATGCAAAAAATTCAAACTTGGGACGGTTATTGTAGGCTGGTTGCCTATGTTTTGGAATTCTGCCAACTCCTGTTGTTGTGAAACATATTTTATGATAATGACGATGGTGATAGTGAAGATATATATTATCATAATTTATGTCAATATCATCATCTACTCCATAATCATCATTTCGTCATCGTTGTCATCAGTTAGCAGCATCGTCACCATCATTACACTCACCATCATTAAACTCACCTCCTTATCACCACCATCCAACTCACCTGAATCATGTTTCTGATTTCCCCGCAATCTTCCTTCCTACTCCACCTCACGTTCACTCTATTTTTCATTCCTTCATCGCCTCCTTTCTCCTTCATTGTCTCTTTATCCATTTTTTTTTATTTTTCGTCTTCTGGATGAAATGTTCCACTTTAATAAAGGTTTCGTTTTGTAAACTTCATGAATTGAATACACGCTAATAATCATCAATACAATCAATCAATCAATCAATCAATCAATCAATCAATCAATCAATCAATCAATCAATCAATCAATCAATCAATCAATCAATCAATCAATCAATCAACTGATCTCATCAATTAACAAACCAATTAACTAACTAATGGGAATTAACCTCATCCAATGGTATTTAATATAGTTTAAGGTGATATGAACAACAAATTAGTGTAATGTAGTGCGATTTCAATGTTATTTAGTTCAATAAATTACCCAGATTTTCAAAATTATCTTCAACTTAGTAACCAAAATCTATATCTTCGACAACTTACAATTGTCATTCGCAAAGAAATGACAACCAGCGAAGTTAAAATTTTCAGACGTAGCTGTTATCAAAGAAGTTAAGATAAATAAATAAAAATACAAAAATAAACACATAAAAACACACATGCACGCATATAAACACACACAGACACACACACACACACACACACACACATATATCTACATTGGCTTCTTTATGTTGTTATTAATAATGTTAATTGTAATTTCCATAATTTTACTAATCATAATCATAATATTACTAATCATATTACTAATTTTACTAATCATAATATTATAATTACATATATTACTAATCATAATAATTATTATCAATATTACGTGATATGATGTAGCGAAAACAGGGTGATGGTTAGACAAACAAAAGACAATACAACACATACACTATTATTCATCTATATATATATATATATATATATATATATATATATATATATATATATGCAAATTTCATTGAAATTGTTTGCCCATTTTTTGCATTAATTAACTTCTTTATAAGACATTCAACGAGGCGGTATTGTTTGAGTTCATATTTATCTAAAACTGGAATAAAGCTAACAGCGCTGTTTCGGCGTAATGCCATCTTCAGAGCTTAAATATTGTTTAAACATATAATTTAATTAAAATAAATGTCTAATGTAAAATGTGAAAATATAGAAAATAAAATATGTATTAAATTGTGAAATAAATTAACCTTGTTGTAAATATCATAATAACTAAAGTTTATGTAGATTATATAAATAAAATTATGTAATTTAAATAAAATGTTTAGTAAAATAATTAAAATATAGAAATTTTATAAAAGTTTTAACATGGTTGAAAAACGTTAGTGAAAACTAATTACGAATGACATGTGCGCCAGATATATAATATTGCTGTGTATGCGTTGTGAATACAACTATTGCGGTTGAATATGTGTGATACGAGTTTCCACATCAGACCTACGTATACAGAGTTAAATATAAATGCATATATGTACATGCAAGATACATATCGATGTATAGATCAAATATTAAGTATCACATAATACATCCAACGACGCAATGACGGTTGTCGGATGACGCTGGGTCACAAACTGCGTGTTAATGGGTTGAAATGTATTCAACGTAGAATGATATTCGTATCGTTGTGGTACACGCAGATCCTGTGGATTAACCCCAACGGCAACAGTAGGTGTGAGATCGTGATATTGAGAAAACAATTGCAAAGTGTGATCAATTGTAATCAACCAGGATCATTTCCAGTTTTAGATAAATATGAACTCAAACAATACCGCCTCGTTGAATGTCTTATAAAGAAGTTAATTAATGCAAAATGGGCAAACAATTTCAATGAAATTTGCATTTCTGAAAACCTCGTTCCTAAATATATATATATATATATATTTATTTATTTATTTATTTGTTTATTTATTCATTTCTCTCTTTCTTTCATTCTTTCTTTTTTCATTATTTATTTTTTACAATTATTTATTTAATTATTTAATAATTATTATTATTTATTTATTTATTCTTTTTAATCAATAAAAAACAAAACAGGCAAAGTAGTTCAGAGTCATTTGAGCAGTACTTCGTGGTTCCGAGCTGGTTGTGGGCGCGATACAAGGAGGACCTGATGGAGAGGATGTGCGACAAGGCTGCCTACACTCGCCTCCTCCACGGACTCGGGTTCGATTTCATCCTTCTCCCACAACACCCACTAAGTGACGTCACCAAGAAGTATTTCATCTATCAAGATATGCAGAGGTTTTTATTATATGTATGTAGAATTAGGTTTGAGCATGTCGTACGTTCAATTATTAAGAGATGTCACTGCATTCTTAGCTTTGAAAACATTAACTAAGTATAAGATGAAAATGCAATGATATTTCTTAATAATTTTATGTATAAAGTTAAGCCTAACCTGGCAGTTTGAACTAGAGACATGAAAATTAATTTAATAGATGGTTGAATATGATGAAGAATGAAAGTAGGAGTGAATTAATAAAAAAAAAATGAATTAAATGGAAACATAATCGGTGAACGGTGGACGAATGAGTTAATGACTTGCTAAATGACTGAATGCATGAATGAGTAAATGAATGAATGAGAATTCAAAATAATATTTTTTTTATTCAGATGTGGTGCCTTCTTAAGGGCGAAGTATCGGTCAGACCTCTTTCAGTTATTTCCCAATCTAACATTTTGAGTCATGGGATTTTGAGTCAAAGTACGCAAAACATTCCATTTCATTGCGTTTTTATCGGTTCTAGGGCAGATGGTTGCATTTCTTTTAAAGCTTTTTATTTTTTTCAAGTGAATAACTTCTTGACATGAACTTTAAAACTTTGGGAATCTTTGTCTTCCGATACGTTTGTTTCCAAGCAGTGTTGGATCTAAAAAAAAGTTGACCAGGAGGTCAACATTTGACGGGGGGCCAAGAAATTTACCAAAATTTTGTTAGTGTGGTCAAAATTAGACTGGAAAGCTTTTTCCGCTTATCACGCTTAGTTTTGGCAACAACGGGTGAGCCATGGCCTGCCCAATTTTTCCAAATGTCTGTATCTAAGTTTTATATGGATTTTTCTTTTTATTGAAATTTGAGTCGATTTATATAATAAATTTATTGCAGCTGAAATTAAATTTTCATTATTTTTTAATGGGTCACTTTTGATAACAAGAATAGGGGAGTGAGGTACGTTGAGACATGGGGTGCAGTGAGACAAATCAAATAATTGTTGAGCGGTACATAATTTTTTCTTTTGAGTTTACCTAATCTGTACTTTAGTAGGACCGGTGGTTAACAATATAATTTTCTGCAACGAAAATCGTGAGTTGCGTTTTTTAATTCTGTTTTTTGATTTTTTCACAGATTTCTGGACATGTTAATATTTGGTTGGGAATGTAATTGCTCAATTATTTGAAATGATACTGTGATCACTCTTACAAGAAAGTTTGACATTTCAATAAGAAATTAGTTCATATAGGAGCCAAATTTTTATTCCAATTGGTTTTGGCACTACGTCGAATAGTTATGTCAACGACTGTGTGGGGTCAATAGAGACAACAACGATGGGGCACAGTGAGACGTATGTGGTACCTTGAGACAACAACAAAACTGATGTTAAACATGATTTATTAATTAATAGAATAATAATTAAATGATTATATCATAATAATAATAATTGATTTGCAGACAAAAATGAAAAATAGGATAAAAAAAAACCAGCCAATGGCATGCGTGTTGTAGGCAAAGTAATGGATGGTGGTTCTTTACAAAAGGTAGCTCATGTTCATGGCTTGTCATTCCAAACATTGGCCCGCTATGTCACAAAAGCGTCAGCTGCGCATCCTGGAAAAATTGTCAAATTCAAACCAAACTTTGCAACACGGAGAATATTTACAACAGAACAGGAAAAAAGTCTGAAAGAATATATCCTGACAAGTTCAAAAATGATGTATGCAATTTCAACAAAAGAGTGTAGAAAAATTGCATACGAGATGGCCAAAATTAATGGAATTAGATTTCCAACAACATAGAAAACTGAAGAATGCGCAGGTTTAGAGTGATTTAGGTTGTTCATGAAGCGGTATCCATCTCTTAGTATTAGAAGCCCTGAAGCATGTAGTTTCTTACGGGCTATATCATTTAACCGGCACAACATTGGTCAATTTTATAAAAATTTGGAAAAGATTTTTCTGAAATCACCACAGTTGGCAGATCTTTCTAGAATTTTTAATCTGGATCCTACTCATAGTAAATTTAGTTCAGAGTCTGGCTATACTGGACAGCTAGCACCTGTTACATTTTTAACGCCGGAGCAATGTAAGGGATATTCAAAAGCAGGAAATAGAAAAACAAACAACATAGGTAGAAAAAAAAGAAAAAGTCTTATAGCTACTGACACTCCAGAAAAAACTCTTCTGGAAGCTAATAATATAAATAAAAGAAAATTAACACCTACATTGAAGGACAAAGCCAAAAAAATGTTTATTAAAGGACTTTACTATAACAGATCCCAAGAAAGATAACAAAAATAAAAATAGAAGAAATGCACTGTCAACCAATGAAGACCAGACTTCTTGTTCAACATGTGGGATCAAGTATTCTGATGATACAAGTAGAACAAATTGGATACACTGTGTGAACAGGTTACATGTTTGAGGTGGTATCATAATGCCTGGCAAGGTTTAAAAGAAAAAGCACCAAAGTTTTTTACTTGTATTGACTGTGACAATAATTAAATTGTTGTTGTATATGTTTGTCTCAACCAACCCCATATGGTTTTTCAATGTCGACCGCTATGGGGCTGGTTGAGACAAAAAAATGTTTTGCAAAACTCTTATATTTAATTTGGTTATTAATTAATTTGTGATATTTTGAAATAAAACATTAGTTCCTTCCTTGACCTGTATGTGGGATATATTTTAAAATAAAAAAATTCTTTATTTTGCAGCATTTTGCATTTTTTCATCTCAACGTACCCCACCCTCCTCTATATAACCTGTTAAGTTGATGAACAAATGGTTTTCATATTTCTTACAAAATAAACTTATTTGCTATCGAAATTCAGTCAATAATTAAACTAGTGAGATTATATATTATATATATATATATGTTTTTACAATATTCTATAAATTCTACCGAATGTTTGGCGTTAATATGTTTGTAGTTCGTTTTTTAAATTTTTCTCACTAAAGTTTTTTGGTTAACGTTTAGTTTATTAAAATTCAAAATAAACTTATTTTCCGAATTCATGCTGCAAATAAGGCCATATTTCGATTCCGAATGAATCATCATCAGTGCTTTCTGCTGTTTATATAGGGAAGTCAATATTTCCCTAT